GGACGGAACGGCCGTCCAGTGCGTCCAGGTTTTCAATGGTGGTCTAGCTTCAACTGACTCATGATTTCAATCTGCGAAAATAAAAATATTTAACATGATATTTCTGCACTTCATTGAATTGTCCGCAAAGTTATATTGGTACTTCAGTTTGCTGAACAAATTTTACATCCATGAATTTAAAAAATGATAAGTAATGACAAATCCTCGAGTAAAGGCTCACATAACCTATCTCAAGTCGCTTTATGTACCCAAACCAGATCAGCTGGACAGGAGTTTGGAATCAGTGTATATAAACCTATCAGTTAAAACCACCAACTGACGAAACGAAAATTATTTTAACTTCTAATTTAATGTATGGAATATTTTTCGGTTTGTTCAAATAGAGACGCTTATCAACAAGAAAGAGCATCTTTTCATTAATTTACAATATACTTTTAGAAATGTTGATTTTTAAGTAAGAAAAGACTCAGGAATCTTGAAACACGCTTTCATGTGATATTTTTCTGTTATTATATAGACTTCTATATTTATTGAATCACCATAAATGCAATTGTATAGCATTAGTTTGAAACCCGAGTGTTCAAACTATAGCTTCGGCTTTGAAAACAGTTTCTACAGCGACTACCAGTCTAATGTTAACATTTTCAGGTAGCTTTGATTTCCTATTACTTTGAATTACATATTTCTCGATATAAGTTCAAAAAGTCGAAGTGCGTTACTTATTTGCTTGTTAATAATATTTAGTAAGTCAACTAGTTATTTTAATAAGGTTATAGTGAATCAAATGAGTAAGATATGGTAGGTTTTTGCTTATTTATTTAGATTCTCCAAACAGTTGAAGTTGCACCATAATTTGAGGTACATCCTTGAAGTTTTGTATTGGTGACATTTGACTTTTAAAACTGTTATTGGGAGTCAATATAGTATTTGTTTTTTAATGGCCATAATATTTATTTCCGTTAGACTATTTTTCTTGTTTAATCACTCACTTTGAGAGCGTTTTTAAATGCTTGAAATTAATGATTTTTAAACAAAATTAGATGGAAAGGAACCGGTCTTAATGAAGTTGGTGTTGATTCAGAATCAGGAAATGTACTTGTTCGTGTCAATGAACGTTACTTCCGTCCTGCAGAAGTAGTAAGTACAGTATTTCATAGGTGTCAGTTTATTGCTTCTGTTTAGCTAATTTATTATTGCATAGTAAATTTCTGTCTATTTCTACATTAGTTCATTATCTACATATTTGCGAATCGCCATTCAGTAGATTAAATAATAAAATGAATAGTGATTTCGATGTCTGTTCTGTACATTGGACTAAAGGACTCACTTATTTCCATATACAATATCTTCGAAATAAACAGTTTTCTCTTTTTTTATTATATTCCAAAAAATACAAGCTGACAAATACCTCAGTGTGACTTGAGAGTTATTTAATAAGGATATGTCAAATTAGTAAAACTGGCATTAATCCACATGCATTCAGAGTAATTGTTTGTTAATGCGGTAAGCACTGAAGAGTGATCAACAAATATTGCAGTTTACGTTCCCGTTCGACTGAACACATTGCCTATGAACAGTAACCAGACTTATTCTGATTTAATTGATCTGTGTCTCTGATCATTCAGAGCATAATATAGCTTTCTGAAGGAGTTACATCAATGTCAGATACCTAGCTTCTGTGTTAAAATAAAACAAAAAGGGGAATTCAGCAATCATTCTTTTCTGATGAAGTCAGTGAATTACTTCGATCAGACTCACCTACTAAGACTATATGTAGAAAAATATTCATTCATGAACTCAGTAAGTAGTTGAAGTGACTTTAAAGAGCGGTTCATCCGGATTTTGATTACTTTAAGGAAAGATACTATTCACTCAAATACTGTCAGCAAAACATGTACGAAGTTTAATTTTTTGTAGAGAAAACACTTCTTAGACGAATGTCCTAGTTATAATGCACTCATTAGTAAATTTTTTCACAGGATCTTTTATTAGGGGATTGCACTCGAGCGAAAGAATTATTGAAATGGGAGCCAACTTGTGGTTTTACAGAACTTGTTAAGCTGATGGTGGATGAAGATATGAAATTACTGGAGTCCGGTAAAACTCCTGTTTAACTAAAGTTCAATATGCTTTTCAATTTGGTCTGAATCTTATTTGTTTGTATGATTTTTTACTATTGTGTTTCATAAAAATTGTTTTCTATGAATTGTCTTCACTTCGAGTTATTCGATAAAAAAACGTTATTTCTCTCGGAAAAGAAACCACAATTAAGACTCATTATATGTATGATCGATTACTGAAATCAGCCAGGTAATTCACTTGTAGATACATCATTGATTTATCGGGGAGATATGTTTTGGAACTTTTTGATGCTATCAGCCTAGCATTCACTTATACCGACCAAAATTTAGTGCTGAATATCAATCACATGATAATAGAAACCATTAGGAATGAATACCATACCATTCGAACAAGTTATTGGTTCTTTAGACTCAGTGGTTTGGTGGGGAATAACATGGTATTTTAACTGATAGGTGCTGGGTCCGAGTAATACTGTGAGCACAAACACTGAGGTATATTTAGTCTCAAATACAGCGACGCGCACTTTTGAAATTCCATGTGTACTAATAACAAGTAATACTGTAGTGAACAAGAACACGAGTGGGGACAATGGAATGCATTTGACACGAAATTACAGAGCATCTCACTAGAATCTGAGAATCATATAGTAAATAGTTAATTTGCAAAATATCAATCCATCGTCTATATCTTACACTTGTTGGTAGAACATGCATCAATCCATCGTCTCAAACTTCACTGTCCCTTTTGCAAATATCAGTCCATTGCCTCAGATTTCATTGTTCATGCATTTCCATACCAATTGCGTTCCGTTTCCGTTTTTTCCTTATCGATCTTCTGCTGAAATACACTCTATACCTGACCACCGTTATATACTACTTATAGGGATATAAGTAACCTACACCACAATACCACTGAATAAAATGATAATGCTATAGATAGAAGCGAAAAGTTCCGGTTTATATCTGAAAGTATAATTCCTATAATATTAAGAAAAACTAGCTTCAGTGAACATGTAATTACAGTACATAAAATCTTAAGAGAATATCATTACTTATATTTTACCACAACCTCTCAAGAGTTATTTTTAAGGTAAATAAATAGGCATGTACTTTCCAGTATAGTTTGACTGTACGGTTACTACAGTTCACTGTATCTCGAATGTTTTATTTAAAAACGGAAAATATCAAGAAGTATGCCGATTTATGGTATAATGGTTTAAATTACACTGATGGTTATGTTTACATCCAAACTAACTACAGTTACTAGCTACATGTTGTAACTTCTGTATATTCCTTTAAATGCAGTATACAAATGCATAAGTTAAGTTTTGAGCGACTCCAACCGTAATTTAATAATGTGAAAGTTAAATTAAGTTCACTATACATATTTCATTGGGTAAACGACCATGTAAAACCAGGATGCATTGGACATCTGTTATGTTTTAATATATGACTCCCTACCGGTGCGCATTTACGATTCATTTAAGCCTCGCGACCAACACCCAACCTTCAAACAACTATATTGAGATAAGAAAACTACATGGTAATTATTGACTGTGAACAGTGATTTCCTTAGTTCATACGAAGAGCCGTGATTAATGGATTCAACAATATCAGACATGAAATATATCACCTACTGTAATGGACGATTGTCATGAAATATTTTAAACTAACTGAAATAAGAAATGTAAACCATATAATACCAATTCAGTGATCTAATCGTCCTCTGTACAAAATAAATTAACAAGAGTATATGTCAAGTAAATAATTTGTATCATGAAAATATGAACATCAGTTATTGCTAATAACTAATACCATCGTTTACGCAATAAACAAAACAGGCATTTCTGTTATAATAAACGTTTTAATTAGTTGTCACCGTTTATATTTGTATTTATCGTAATTGAAAAGAAAAAAAAGGAAGAAATTGTAGCTGACCAAAAATAAAAATTTCTGATTAGAAGAGAAAAATGAATGCACATCTATTAAAATACAAAATCCATAAATTTAGTTAAAATCATATAAACATGACAATATAAAAAAGTGAAGAAAGAAACGATTAAATGTAATTAGGTTGATTACATTCAGACAATTAATTAAGTTCATGAATCAATTTGCTATTTAGATGTTGCTGTTTATTTTTTGATTTTCTATCCAAGTTCTTATTCTCTAATCATCATTATTTATCAAAATACATATATAAATAGCAATTAGGTCAACGAAGTACATTGTATTGGTGATTGGAACATGAACACTGTTCATAAACATGCCTTACGCGTGTGTGTATGTGTTAATATATGTAATTCAACATAGACTAATTATATTTTGAATTCACAATAAGAAATAAACACTCAATTGAAGTAATGGTAAATATTAACATTTGAAACAAACTGTTTTTTTTTAGTAGAAGAATTGTAACTGTTCTTTTTCATTACTCAATCTAGCAAATTTAGGCTTCAAACAACCAACAATGCGTGTGAGAAATTATTTATTTAGTAAGATAAGATATGAATAACAAAAACTACTTTCATCATTTATCTGATGATAAACACTTTGTAATCATAGATTTTTATGACTCAGTTTATGCTTATTAATAAAGTAATGATCATTTGGTTGAATCTCACTACTGACAATAAAAATTACTGTGAAATTGTTAGCCATACATAGAAATGTGAACATAAAAAAATACTGAATGAAGGCAACTATAATCTTGTTGCGTTAACGAAATAGTAAATAAGGCATGGACACTTGGCAAAAAACATCGTATTAATCCAAAAGGGACATACATGTATGCGCAGACACACAAATAATTAATATTGAATTCAATCAGAGAAAAAAACAACTAGATAGACATAATACATATGTTGTTGCTCACTCATTTTTAAACTCTTATTAAGACACAAAATCAAAAATAAATCATTACAGTTCAGCTGAAGTGACCTCATGTAAACCATGAGCTAACAATGTTGGCGGTAACGTATCGGTTAGTATATTCAATTGATTCAAATAAATATCAGCTAATGATAAATCTGAACTTGGTTTAGGCAAATAGAGAAATAAAGCTGTTGTATTCGGATGACAATGAGACAGAATTAGTTGGTTTAAACAGATTATTCTTCTGTTATTATTAATATTATCATCAATATTTTTCAACATTGATTTTTTTTTCATCATTGAACTATCCATATCAACCAGATGTATTTCTGCCTATAAACAAAGAATAACAGTAAGTAAGCAAAAATATGAATCGTCTTTTTTTTCTTCAATATGAAAACTAAAGTAAATATACTACAAATTAGAATTATTGAGTGTTGATAACTGGAGATCTAATTTCTTTATTTAACCACATAAACATTGGTACAAAGGTCACCAAAAAACATGTACACCACGCAAAGTATTTATCACTCAATTTGTATGTGATTTAGGATACTTGCCGGTTGCCGAAACAAAGAGAGATTCCCCGAGTATTTGACATAGAAATCTAATCGACAAGATAGTGAAACAACATTAAGAGGTGCAGTCCCATGATAACTAGTGGACAACAGTCGGTTCATACACAATGAATTCCTTAAGAATCCTTGAGCCCATGTGTGTTATTGGTTTGGAATCAAAGTGTTTCAACTCCACAACGTCGATCCTTCGTATCTAATGTATAACTAACATAAGCCACTTTTTACCTTCGAAAGTGACCTCTGCCAACTAATAAACTACCGATCATGTTAAGCAACAAAATGCATAACAATATTATCGGCCGAATTTCATGTGTATAGACAAAAGTAGAATAAGACAGTATGAATAGTCAGTACCGATGGTGAACATGGGCTCGAGGATTCTGAAGGAACAAATAGCGTATGAACTAATTGTTGGTCACCAGCTACCATGAGACTGCATCTTCTAACGTTGTGGATGAATTGTGGATTAGACCTTTATTTAACTTGTAGCCTGTGTGCCCTGTTGATGTATACGTAAAGGCATAGCCAATTGGAGAGCAGTGAATTATTGATCGGACCAATGACGCGCAAAACTCGTACGAGCAGTCTAGAGTACTTATCGGTCCTGCTTCCTGCCTAGCCCAGCCAGTTAAGTCCAGAACACCAATCTCAGCCTCTGCGATATGAATCATTTATTTCAAACATACGGGGTGTATAAAGCAATCAAACAGACCACATCGTACCATAAAATAGGAAACAACATTTGTACAAGATTTGGCCAAATTTGAATGTGGGAGGTAGTGAATTGATAGACAGGCAATAATTCAAGAATGGTAAATCGTAAAATAATAGTTCATAGGTCAAAATAAAGCTTATAATAAGAGGGACATGAATATGAGCAGTTTAGTTATTTAACAATTAAACGATAAAAATATACGCATAGTATTGGTGCATAAATGGATTCCCGAAGTTACTATTCATTATGCTTATCGGGACATAACAACATTCAGGTCAAAGGCTCGGGGTGTGGCATCCTAAGAAAACCATCTGCTTTAGTTTGTGCACCCGGATGGTATCACAGACCCCACACAAATCAATGATAACTACTACTGGTCTCGTTACTGTGTGGCGCATATGTATTTGGTGCCACCTTGTATGAATGTTTATGCGTTCAAATAAATAAAGAATAATTAATAGACTATTTAGACGTGTCTAATATCAGGAGTATATAGTAGAAACTCGAAAATTTGCTGAATTGATTTTTTCAAGAAATTGAACAATAACAGTGATGTTTTTCATGATGAGAGACAACCGACCGTACTATACCATCAATTTTGTCATTTCATCTAATTATGACGAAAGTGATTGTTTATCTTAAACTAAATTTTTAATTAATTACTGTTATTGTTATTATTATCATCATTCATGTTAGTGCTTGACTTTGATACTGCTTACATATTCTGAAAAATATTATTATTATTATTTGTTTTAATTTAATTCAATACAAATAAAATAAGGTTATATACAATGATTATTGTAATATACCGATAGAATCTATTGTTAATTTGTAGTTCAAATGGTTTTCTTTGTTTATTTAACAAAAACAAACTAAACGTTTATTTATTCTATTAAACCTTTCAGGTATCTCATAATTAATTTTATTATACAGGATTATTGGTTTTATTGACCTGTAATAATAATAATAACAATAATAATAATAACAGTAATAATAGTAATAATAATAATAATTATTATTATTATTATTATTATTATTATTATTATTATTATTATTATTATTATTATTATTATTTACATTTCAATCCAACTTATATGTTTATTGTTTTAATATTAAACTGAATTAAGAATACATTTTTAGAAGTATAAACTTTTTATAGGTTTTTTTTAAAAATGAAACTATTTTCAATTGTCAAGTAACCGTGGATTCCATGATGATATAAACAATATTTTAAATCATTTAAATGTAAATGAAAAAAAAGAAAACGGTAGTTTAGTGTGACTTATAGATTTTATTGTTATTATTAATTGAGAATATCAGAATAAGAATTTTACACAAGTTGTAATAATGATTTATTAAAATAAAACTTGTAAATTAAATATACTACTCAGTCAGTCAGTCAGCTACAACGTAGGACCAGGCACATTTATGCATCGGTCCAAGTTGCCATACCTCATTAACACAACAAGATGGACACCGGATTCATAAAAGTAGTTAATTCAGAGGTGGTAATATATAAAAGAAAGAGTGCAATAAGGATATAGTACAGGAAGAAATAATTAGTTCGTAGAAAGAAAGATATGAAGTAATTTTAATCTCTTAGTTTAAGGGACGATAGAGAGTGTATACACCGACGCCATTATGATCGATTCTGAGCCATGTCACCAAGAGTCTCCAACCATTGGTTACGATAGTCACGCGGACCCCAACCAAGTAGTCTGCATCTACCAACATGGCTCAGACTAGAAGTTAGTGACTTCAAGCACTGATGCCACGTTTTGGTTTGGCCGCCCCTAACTTTCTTCCAACCATCCCGAACACCGGTTAGCATTGCACGTCGTGGTAATCGGTGTTCGGGCATACGTAACACGTGGCCCAACCGTCTCAGTCGACGAAGATTCACAACCTCATCAACTGATTTACCATCATTCCCTAATACCCTGCATCTAACCTCACTACTACTTATCCGGTGATCGCAGCAGACGCCAGCAATATTTCTGAGGCATTTGTGGTCAAATACTAGTAGCTTACGAGTGTCTTCTACTCTTAATGGCCATGTTTCGCAGCCGTTAAGTGGGACAGAACGGACTGCCGCACAGCATACTCGTCCTTTTATTGATAGACGGATATCTCGCCTTCGCCATAGGCGAGATATATATACTGCTTGGTTGTAATTTATTTGCAGAGAAGTTACAAAAGTAATAATTATCTATTTTATGAAATTATACTGATGTATTGATTTGGGATAATCATAATAATAGTAATAATAAAAGGTATATGCCATAAACAGTTCAGCTTTAGAAGAACAAAACTAACTACGCAAAGAATCTGCATACAAATAATAGAAAAATTTGTCAACAATTATTCTACTTAAAAATATGTTTCAAAGATTGAAAATATCTTAATTGTTTACTTTACTTTTTAAAATACAGAAAAATTTAATTAGCTTACTTATACATATTAATAAACAGATCGTTGTTGGCATAATTAATGCAAACTAAACAAATTACCAGCATAAGTCAACCATACATAATAGTTTATCAGGTTATTAATTTTCTACTAAAATATGTTTAACTCAAAGTCTTCTAAATGACAGAAGCAATAACCATTTACATTAAAAAAAACCGGAGTAATATGTGTAAAATATATTTCATTTTAAATTCACTTGGTGTTGTTTTACTTGTATATCTTCTCGTTGTTATTTAGGGCCGCAATCGATCAGTCTCATGTTGGCATATGTACATCCAGTGCGGATTGCCTCGATATAGCCTTAAGTCACAAGCTTTTATAAGCAAAGATGGATAGTTGCTAGCAGTGGATTTGAGGACGTTCGTTCCGTTCCATTTTTGCTCAAAAAGTTTGTGACTTATATTTCATCTTATTTGACAGAAAATTCTAAATTCATAGACAATAATTTTTAAATGATATGCTTTGACTTAAACCTGGTCACTATTTGGATTATTAATTTTGATAAATATTTGTAGAACTTGAAGAGATTAGTGATTAGTTGGAATTCATAATCAACCATGAATGTTTACGATCAGTTTTTCCCCCTATGATTAATATCCTTTTGCGCATACTATATTTCATGTATAAATTCTGTAGTAATCATCTAGCGTTTCTCTCTTAAATAAATGGAAGTATGAGAAAATATGCGAACCATCGTGGAGGTATATCTCTTAGAGTTTCTCATTGATATATCGTAGTATGCTGTAAACATTCTATGAAAGTGTGTTAGTACGTGTGGTTATCAAATATGTTTAGTTAATCATATTAAATATATAAAAAGAAATTTTAAGATAATAAATATACATTTGGAGAGAATGTAGTCTAGAAATTTGAACAAGATGCGGTTACAGACTTCATAGCTTATTAGATTAAATAAGATACAAAATATACTTTGAATTGAAATTTTATGAATCTCTAAAAGCTAAGTTTGATGTTGAAATAATGAATATTATAAATTTCAATTTAATTGTTTATTATATAACTGATATAATAATAATCATTTAATAAAAAATTATCACCTTGTAATGTGTACTTTAATTTGAGCGGCTTAAATACTCAACAGTAAAATACAGAATGGTTTGTTGACCATTTTTTATAGCTATGTTGTTATTAATTATTTTTATTTTAAATTCATCGTCTTTCAATATCTTTCGATGTATCAAACAGATTAAATGGTATTCTTTAAATGCATATTTATAAAACCTAATCACTTTCAAAATGAACTTAACAAATGGAGATAATGTTACAAGAAACTAGGAACTTTGTAGTAAGATATAAAATACAAAACCATTAAACGAATTTCTAATAAAATATTAGGTTAATATATATCCTGGAGAAAAAATCATGCTATCTATGGTCAGCAATTGAACAAAAAATTAGTTCAATTTTTAATTCCTTCCATTGTACTAGTATTACGCTCAATAAATCGATCCGAAACAATATTCTAAGACACATATATGGTTATCATCAAAATAAATAACGCGACTGAACTTATAACGATTCACCAAAGAGTAGAATTTGAAAACTTAATGATACTACATTAAAATCATGTTACCAGAAAAGTTATGACTGCAATTCACTTGTAGATGTTAAAGTTAACAAGTATGTGAATACCAATTAACAAATATCATAAAATTGGTGATTTTGTACCATAAAATAAAAGTATGAACGTTCCATAACATTTCTGAGTCATGATATGTGGTAATGAAAGTAAAATATGGTTGGTCACTGAGTGTCGACAAACAGGCACTTAATCTGCTGACTATTATATAAAAGATTTCCTTTCCTCTAAATGATTTCTTCTCTGAATACACACTATGTGACTGCTTATAACTGTGTAAAATAAAGTATTATCTAGTGCTAATCCGGTTCTCTGTTCTGGGTCATGAATCATGGATCTGATATAACGCGACTAGTCTCATTATTATATTAACGTATCATCGAAATATACCTGAGTGACAGAAAAATGTTTTCAACCATCCGTTACATCAAGTTAAATATATCAAAAACTAGAAAATGCAAAACAAATCAAATTACAAACACTTCGGTCAACCATTTCAGAAAAAAACAATTTGTCAGATCATATAAACTGCTAATCGATTACTGAACCAAAAGGGTTAAACGCGAAACCACTCAAATCAATTTTCAAAAAAATCATAACATCAGGACACTGAATGAAGCGATTAGCTCGAAATACATTATAAGGTACAAACTGTTCGTGTTGAACTAAAAATACTTCACAAATATTTACTTATAAGACAACTTGTTGACTTACAGGAATTCGTAAATTTTTCAACAAAGTTGATAATTGAGAACGTGCTTTGTCAGATACGGTAACAACCTCTCCATTAGATGGATTCATTGTACGTAACTGTGGAAAAAATGCACGTAGTTTTGGTGGATGACGACGTTTACGCCAATAGGGTGATCTAGCGACTAAACAGGCAAGTTGTAAGAGGAAAAGACCAGTACGATCAATCACTTGCTTGTAAATTTCTTCGTGTGATGAAGATGATGGTAGATTTAAATTCTCACCATAAAATCCAAGAAGATTAATTGGCCATATATCAAAGAATATAACTTTTGAAGTGTCTACTATATATGGATTAATCTCAGACATTGAATTAGTAACATCCATCACTGTACCTGCATTATAACCATTATTGCAATTTGAATTTAACCGTTGTGAACGGTTATTTGTATGAAAAATATTACGGAAATAGCGTCGAGTTGCATCCCAACCAGACATACCTTCATCAAAAATTACTCTGTCGAAATTTCGAGCAAGTACAACATTGGTCTAAAAAATTGGGTAAAAAGGAAACAGAAGATATGGACATGTTAACACATAAAATCTATTTGTTGTGGTTATATATAGATAATAGTAGTTGTTAGCAAACTCAATGATTCTAGTTCATAACAATGTTTCATATGAAAACGGATCACGACCGTTCAAGGTTAGGTATATTAGAAATATAATTCCAATGACCTGTGTTTTTCGAAACATTCATGTGAAAATAGACTTGAAAAAGATTATTAATCTAGTGTATAAATACTAAGGCTAAATAAATGAATACCATAAAGTAGAATAGTCATTTATTTAACCGAAGTATACTTCATGGGATCTTATCATAATACTGTATGATATATTCAAAGATGAATTTCAACAGAATAGTGAAAAGGAAGGTCAAGAAACAACAGATGAGGTTAGCATGTTTTTCATTATCATGCCAAACTAAGAAAGTACTTATAAACCACATCTTCAACTACTAAAAAATGACAAACAAACAATGTTGACTGAAAATTATCTGTATGCATCTACAAAATTACCGAATTTTTAAGAATATGCACTAATCAAAATATATATTGGACACAGATCTCAACCATTAAAAAACGAAATCGTAGAGCAAATCAAACTTCTATATAAATTATCTAAATATTATCCAGTCACAGTGTATATTGATATACTAAACATTTTAGAATGAGTAATTGATGAAGGTAAGAGAAATAATTATTCCATAGTCAACTTTACACATCTTTTTGATTTCATATGATGACAGATAAGTGAGATGGGCTGTTACTAGCTCAAATCACTATTTCAGTAAGGCGCAAACACATATTTTCAGGTAACAGGCTTAAATTAAAGTTCACTCAATACTTTCAAACTATAGTCAGTGCTAATAATGAATCTGTGAACATAAATGTACGGGCGACATGAAACTTTATTTAATCAATCTACAATACTATTTGAAAACTAAAAACTCCCTAGACAAATACAAAAAAATAATCTAATACATGGTTGGAATAAAAATAAACAATATATATATTAATAAGTAAATGGTATTATTACTAATTTAAATGTCAAATCGCCGTGAACTGTTATGTGTTTAGCTACTTAGATAATTCAGTAGTAGAGAATTTAATTAAAAAGAAAATAAAACGACTATTGACAAAAAGATAAGTTACCTCCATATTGAGAATTTCTCGAATAATGCTGACATATTCCTGAGAGGTAAGACGACCAGAACGATGGTCACCATAAAATTGATTATCTGTATTATTCTGATTGACAAAAATAGAATTTGAATCCGGATTCGGAATTGAACCGAAATTAGCTAATAGTTCACTGCTGCTTAAATAAGCTAAAAAAAAGTGTTTCATTCGAAAGACATAAGAATAACAACCGTTTATTCAGTAAAAGATGAATAGCTGAGTAAAAAATTGTGAAAAGCACATCTGTATAATCTTAGCCTAATGTACGTGCTTTACAGGATTGTGAAGATTACGATTATTTGAAGACAGACTTCACGACATATGCAAATCATTGAACATATCAATGTTAAATCGCCTTTGGAAACCTGGATTCACAACACAGCCTTTTCGTCCTAGTATCGGACTTCTCAGCAGTGCGAATGCAAGATCCCGCAAGCAAGAATTTAACCTAACACCTCAAAAACTGGGCAGAAACACCTAGCTTCTGGACCATTGTTCTGGGATTCGACGGTGTTAATATCTAGCTGCAATCAATCGACGATATTGCCGGACTATTTTCCATTGTCTTCGGCAGATAACTCCCTCACACTTGACACGTTTGAATTCCACTGATCACCGCTTCTTACTAGAACACCCTGAAATTTAATCTCGAAGCTAGTCACCAGTGAGCACATGAGGAGCACCATACTAGGACGAAATGGTCGCCCCGCGCTTTCACATTTTCAGTGGTCTAATTTTGACTGGTTCATGATTCCAATGACACTCAACAGCCCAATACGGACATCATGTAAATCAGTTGGTTATACGTTGTCAGAGTTCCACAGTTTTTGATGGCTGAGTACGATCAAATTCTTGACAAAAGCCGTTTACTAATGAATTATTGAATTCAGATATATTTACAGAAAATCATTCAAACCACTGACTCAAAATAATTCTCTAACATCTGCAATAATAATTCTCGTATTTTAGTTAACACCTAATATTAATTAATGTTAAAAAGGAGCGACAGAGATAAGCTTAAACAAAACAGAAAGGGAAATTTTGAAATCGCTAGTACTAATAAAGTAGTAAACGAAGTCTTGTTGGGAGAAACCAATCTATGGTATCATGCAAAATTAAACAGTCCCTTCATAAAATCTGAACACGATCGATTGAATAGATTATTTTCACATTTCTCTTCAGTCGTCCTTTACACACTTCATGATTTTTCCAATTGCTCTCTGTTCCCCTTTCTATTTTTCTCTACTTAAACATGCTGGCAAGCATCCCGATTCCGATTTCAGTTACACACTACTTATATCTATCAGCATAAGTAGCATACACCACACTACTACAACTACTGCAAAAGCTTGCAGAAGTTATCAGATTTAACTGGCATTTTTCTCTAAAAATGGCGCACGGGGTATTAAGGTTTCACGGACCTGAAAGTAGGCTTTGTGGGAGTTTTGTTCGTGAAAAGAAGTTACGCAAACTGATATTTGTGGAATACATTTTTAATCGACTGATAAGCATCAAAGACGTAACGAACTTTGCGTTTATAGAAATTTCGAGAGGTTTCATTAGAAATAATATCACTTCAATGAAAAACTTGAAATTTTAAGCGGTTCCCTTAGAAAATGGAGATGTACGAAAAATAACTAACTACTTTCCTACAACTACACAAACTAAAGAAACACCTTATTTCTCAAACAAACATAAAACGTAGCAATACATATTTAAGCATATTATCTCACCATTTGTCGTTTGAGCATCATTATTATTAATGATTAATTCCGTGGAATTATATGAATGAATATGATTTGGCCATGAACTGAATTTTTTTACTTTACGTTCTTTCCAAATCCTAGCTAAAACATCCTGTAAGAGAAAATACTGATCAATAATCTACATGAAATATCACAATAAGAAAGGTGATCAGTTTTTATACGTAATAAATTGGAAAATTATTCGTTACTTAGGAAACTGACCATCCAAGACAATGAAAATTTATTCAGTCATCGCTGAACTACACTGTATTTGTAAAAGAGGACTACGAAACAAATCAAAGCCGAGGCAGGTGTCATGATTTTTAAACCTGTAACCTGGTGATTAACTAACTGATTAAGTATTTTAATTACTAAATTCACTACGTAAACGAATGTTGATGAAGTAATCTAATAAAGAAAATGTTAGAAGTATCACAAGATATCTCGACTGATCATGCCTTGACATATTGTCATCTAAAGGATATCAAACAGATAATTTGAGATCTATTAATATTTCACTACTAAGACATACCAAATATGGTCAGTTATATGCAGTGCAGAATCTGATGTATGTGCACATCGGTCCAAGTTGCTGAATTCCATTACATAGCGAGATCAAACAGTCCAGAAATATTCCGGGGTACTAGGGATAGTAACACTAATAGTAGTAGTAAAAATGAATTGGCATATTTAACTGCTAACAGACCACTCATCAAACTAGTAAAAACTATGCTGAATATCACTTTGTTTTTTTTTGCACAAATATGAACAAATTATCTGAAGTAATACTGTAAAAAGTGCCATACCAATAAATAATGTAAGTTATAAGACATGAAGAATGAATAAAGCAGAAAAAAATGATACTTACGATTGACGGCTTATCATCATAAAATCCCAAGCACACTGTATTTGGACGCATTGCACCTAAACCAGAAATTCGAATAAGATGTGATATCGCTCTGCGTACACTTCGGTCAATTGTTATTTATACAAATGCTTTAGTTTTCAAATATTTCACATATTGTGTCCAATACCTGTACGTAAAAATGACACAATTTAACAAACCATTTAAATTATAATTTAAAATGTTCAAACAATATAAAAATGACTATTGATTATCTTTGGAAAAAAATATCAACAACGTCATGATAAATATAGAAATCATATTTAAGATGGAGAGACAAAATTCACCGAATAATCATTAAACTGTGGTGTGCACTAATTGTGGGGACAGACATAAGTGGTATGTAACAATAGAAGTAGAATGCTTACCAGAAGAAGAGTGAAATAAAAAGAAGAGAAAACGAATAGCAATCAGAATAAAAAACAGGATCGGAAGAATGACTAAATGTGTAAGAAAAAAACTGAAGGAAGATATATGAATGATCTATCGAATGCATGATCTGCATATTTTACAAAACTACTGTTTGATTTTGTGTCAAACAATAAGTTGGTTTACTGTACCTGAGTTTTTTTTAATTCAATACAAAGCTACACACACTAGGCATCAATTTAAATTTTTATCGAGAATCAAAATTATAGGTTATTAATTCTGATGGAAGCACTCTAAAGAAATAAATGGGATTGCTCATATGTACTAAAAAGACAATAAATTAGTTAGCAATGGAATACAGGATGAGCGTTTCGTCCTATTTGGGACTCGGTATCTGGATGATCCTGCATCCCAGAATTGATGTTCACTTCAGAAATCGAAACCAGAAACGTCCGCTTCAAACGATAACGCGGTATCTAGTTTTAGCTACTGAGTTCAGATATACACTCACTCGTGAAACGGCTATGAGATTGAAATTATTTTGAAACGACTTGAATCATCACGTTATTGATATTTTTATCGAAATTTGATTTACATTGGTTGGCATATGGAGATCATGTGCGGCTTGCTTCGATATAGCCATTACCAAACAACATAATATAAAATAGATAGATTCGAGTGAAATCTAACTCTGGGAGGTAAGTATATTCCGATGACTAAACCCATGAAGAAATGTACGTCCTAGATCCCAAGACAAGCAACATTCCATCTATTCTATCCCAACTTGTATCATAATGGATCCACCGAGGCAATCGTCACAGGATACCCGTATGCCGACCAATGCGGACGAAATTCCAACCACAACATCAACAATGGAACTATTCAAATCATTTTAAACCGAATTATTTAGTCCAAAAATGATAATGCAATAAGGAATAACTTCGCAACTAACATCAAAGTCAGAATCTTCAATACGGACGTCAAGATAGTCGTACTGTACAGAGCTGAAACTTCGAGAACTACTACAATGATTATTAAAAAAGTACGAGAATTTATAAACACATGTTTACGTAGGATACTCAGTGTCCGTTGACCGGATACCATCAGCAACAGCCTTATGTGGGAGAGAAAAAACCAGCTTGCAACTGAAGAGGAAGCTATGAGAAGAAATTGGAGGTGGATAGAACATACATTACGGAAATCACGACGCTGACAAGCGCTATCTTAAAATCCGGAAGGGAAACGGGAAAGAGGAAAGCCAAAGAACACATTGCTCTGGGAACTAGGAGTAGACATCAAAAGAATGGATAGTACTTGGGAACAACTAGAAAGGATTGTCTAGGAAAGAGTTGGATGGGGAATAATGGTGGGTGACCTATGCTTCTCCACGAGGAGTAACAAGCATGAGCAAGTAATAAATTTACAAAGTGATATGTGTGATCATTTCAGAAGTAAGTTGCATCAAAGTTGAGACCTTTGAAATTTATTTCAATTTATGTAATACACTTTCTCGCTCCATTATAAGCTCACTTACCAACGCTGATTTAGACATGGGTCCGATTGGTCAACGAACTCATCTGGATCACCACAAATTGCATGACCAACTACATAAAGACCACCTTTTTTCAAACTATTCATAAATTGAACGAGTGAGGCTGACGAACGTGGATTTGCAACAAGTAATAGTAATTGGAGTCTCCAGTATTTAACATGATCTTTACGGGAATCCAACAATAATAAATATTTACGGATCTATAAAAATAAATTTTATGAGTATTATAAACTGAATCATCATTTAAAAAAAGGGAAAGAAAAGCGGCGGTGATTATATGATTTATGAATTGACCTCAACTAGAAAAGCTTATTGCATACCGCCTAATTGATAAGAAATTAATGAAGAAACAACGCGGTTAACTGGATCAGTCAGTCAGTCAGTAACAGCGCAGAACTTCGTACGTACGTACATCAGTTCGAGTTGCCACACCACATTAGCACAGAGATGCAGTTGTCGATTCAAACCCCGTAGTGGTAGAGGTAGCAAGAGTATAAGCAGTAATCGGGAAGATTAGGGTTTGAAGATGTTATTTAAAGAGTATAATCCAGTGAAATAAATTTGGAAAGAGGAAAAAAGGCACATGAAGAATTCAGAAGATTAGAATTTGGGAGAACACAACGAGTGGATGCACCTGCGCCATTGCAAACGATTTTGAGCCATGTCATTCAGGGTCTCTAACCATCGGTTGCTATCATCTCGCGGTCCCCAACCAGGCAGTCTACACCTACCAACATGACTCAGTCCACTTGTCAGTGACTTCATGGACTTCTGCCATGTTTTGGTCTGGCCGCCCCTAGCTTTCTTCCAACCTACTCCTATACCACTGAACATAGCACGTCGAGGTAGTCGGTGGTTGGGCATACGTAACACGTGTCCCAGCCATCTCAACTGATGAAGTTTCACTACTTCATCAATTGATTTGCCATCCTTACCTAGTACCCGTTTCCTAACAACTGTGTTACTTACTCGATGGTCCCAGGATATACGAGCAATGTTTCGAAGACACCTATGATCGAATACTAGTAACCTACGAATATCCTCTACTCTTACCGGCCATGTTTCACTGCCATAAAGTATGACGGAACGAACTGCTGCGCAGTAAACACGTCCTTTGGTTGATAGACGGATATCTCGCCTACGCCATAAATGACGCAAGTTGGCAAAAGCTAGTCGAGCCTTCTCTATCCGTGCTGAGATTTCGTCACACACCAGACCACAAGGGCTGATGAGACTTCCAAGATAAATGAAGCGGTCGACACACTCAACTACTTCACTCCCGATCACTAGTTCGGGTGTCGATGCAACCCAATCCTGAAGCAACATTTTGCATTTCGAGGGGGAAAATCGCATCCCGAACATGCTTGCATTGTTGTTTAGAGTGGTCAAAAGACTCTGCATTTTGTCAGCGTCTTCACCAAATAAAACTATGTCATCAGCATATTCTAAGTCAACAAGTGAACCTCCCGGTAGAAGTTCAACCCCTGGAAATCTAGACGAGGAAAGTGTTATCTCTAAAAGTACGTCGACCACAAAGTTGAACAAGAATGGGGAGAGTGGACAGCCCTGACGAACACCACTTGAGGTAATCAATTCTGATGACAGTTCGCCATAAGCTCTCACTCTACCAGTTGTGTTCGAGTAGAGAGCCTTTATAAGGTTAATGTACTTCTTTGGTACTCCTTTCAGTGACAAACACTGCCATAGAACCTCACGATCAACAGAGTCGAATGCCGCCTTAAGGTCGAGAAATACTACCATTGTGGGGCGTCTGAATGTGTGTCTGTGTTCTAGAACCTGACGTAGAGTGAATATCTGATCTATACAACCAAGTCCAGGCCGAAAACCGGCCTGGTTTTCTCTAATATGCTCTTCACGAGCTTTGATTAGGCGTCGAAGTATTATTGAAGCTAATATTTTAGACACTATATTAGTCAAACTGATTCCTCTCTGATTGTCACAAGAGGACTTTTGTCCTTTCTTATAGACTGGTACAATCAGTGATTGAGACCAGTCAGATGGAATTACGTCCAGTTCCCAAATCCTACCTAAGACCTCAGTTAATCTCACTGCTAATACTGGACCACCATCCTTAAAAATCTCAGGAGTAAACCTGTCAGGGCCTGCTGCTCTCCCTCGCTTCAGATTTCCTATGGCTTTTTCAACTTCGTAAAGAGTCAGAGGACCTACACTAACTTGCCACTCAGGTTGACTGGAGATCGTGGGAAACCGAAGTGTGGCTGAAGGCCAGTTGAACTGATCCCTAAAGTGTTCTGCCCATCGATCCAATCTTCTGGATTGAGAATGAATAATATGTCCATCTTTCTCTGAGAGTGTTTCGCTAATAGTCGGTTTCCTTAACAAGTCTGAACAATTGTCTGCTATTACCTATTGCCGCTGCCTTTTCAATCTCTCTTGCTTTCGCTACCCACCACTGTTCACGATCATTGCGTAGACTTCTTGTCAGCTTGCGCTTAAGCTGACTCCGCTCCTAATTATGTTCAGAGCCAGGTGGAATGAGTTTCCGAGCATCTATCAGTGCGATAGATGCTGCTGAGATCCAGTGTTTCTCCCTAACCTTCTGGTTTACCTTACTAGCAGATATCACTGCTGTTTCCACAGCTTTTCGGATATCATTCCATGCTGCATCGGGGTGGGCATCACATACATGGCTGCCTAACTGTTTTTCTAGTTGTTCCTGAAATATACTCTTAGCTTGACTATCATTAAGTAGGCCCCTAAGAGGTTTCCTTGCAGCGTCTTTCCTACGTCCAGTAAGACGCAGACAGATACGCGCTCGCACTAGAGCATGATCTGAATCTAAGCATGTGCTCCAGAATGAGCGACAGTCTTCTATCGAGCCCCTCCATCGGTGGCTGATAGCGATGTGATCTATTTGGGTCCAACGTTAGGACGAATTAGGTTAACTGGATAATACTAGTAAATAAGCTTTCGCAAATACAGTTAGGAAATTATGGTAGCTGTTTGTGTTATCGCTATTAAAAAATTCGGTAAATTTTTCTCTTTTGCTTTGCTTTTGTCCCTGATGTGTTAATAACTATTGGGTGTTGCGTTTTAATCAACTAAAAGTGTACATTTGAACATATGATATTCATATATTGTAAATGTCTCGAAACCAAATAGATTGATTTAGTGAATACTTTTTTTTAACCCAATTATAATAAAACGAGCTAGACATTAACACTGTTAGATGCCGACTCAGTGGTCTAGAGGATAAGCGTTCGCGCAAAACAGGTCCTGTATTGAAATCCCACATATGGGATCGTAGATGAATACTTGAGAAGTCCCATATAGAGACAAAAAGACCATTCAGTGCATCAAAGTTTTCGATGGTGGTCTAACATTGACGAGTTCATGATCATAAAAAAGCTTAATAATATGCACAACCCTATACTGATAATAAAACAAATCACTGATAATTGTTGTGGGAGAACACTATAAAACGTAATATTTATGTAGTCATATTTTACAGAATTTCCTCAATACAAAAAAACACAGTTTCTAATAATTAATCTATACATCATACTACAAATTCATGAAGCGAATATTGAATGCTCTATAAATTGACTGACTGTTCAAAAGGTTACAGAATTAAACTGACATACTCAATCCATAAAATACTTATAAACTTAGAAAGATATGCAAACAAAAACTTTCATCTTCACTAAATTAAAATCGAATGATCTTTTTTAACATTAAAAACATTTACTTGATGAAACAGAAGCGCTTGTCCAATATTACCCCATGACGATTCTAAATGCCGCTGATATAATGAAAATACAAGTAGACCTAAAACAATAATTGCGACTACCGTATAAATTGGTTGAATTAATAAACACATAATGAAACAACCAATCATTCCCAAAATTGAAGTGATCCAGTTAAAATAACGAAATGTTGGTCTGACAAAGTGAAATGTAAACAAAACAAAAAGACAATACGATAATTGGTATGGAAAATTACACATACTGACGAAATGAATCTATTTCATTTTCTCATGAAATTTAAATACAATTTTTAGATGAAAATATTTTATTTTTTGCCAAGTAATTCGGTGCAGATAAATGATGTTTCTTTCTTCGCAATATTAGATCTATTCTTAACATAAAATCATTTCCCAGACAATTTTATAACTAGTTTTCCTTATTAATCACTGAAAGAACTTAAAAGATTACATCTTTATCGTAACTATTTTTAGGATCATAAGACTAAGAGAAAACATTTTCAACCTGTTAGGTATTTATTATAGGCTTGCAGAGCGATCACGGTTGTAAATTGATTCCACTTTATATTTGCAGGTAACAAATTGAATGAACACACATTAATACTCTAGTGAACAGAGGACAGGTGGGGACAATCGAATGTGTTTAACACAAAACTACAGGACTTGTTAGTAAAATATAACAATCATAAAGTAAATGCTTAGTTCGCAAAATGTCCATCGATTGTCTCAAAATGACTCAGACTTCATTGTTCTTGAATTTTCGTACAAATTGCATTTTGTTCCCATTCTTTACTGTTCTGTCCTCTTGTCTCTCTGCTGTCAGACATTCTGTTCCTGACTAACGTCATATACTACTTATGTCGATATAAGTAGCACACACCACAATACCAATACCATAAACTACATTCACTACCTCGAAATCGGTATTATAGATTGACATAATTTTCATCATAATCGAGTCGATTAAAATGTTATGAAGAATGTAGATCACCATTGAGAAATATATTAATGCATAGTTATTTGACAAACTGTAAAGCAAAATGAAAATGTTTTTATTCTTATTCATTTCATAAATTCCGAATCAATATTTCTTGTATATTAGTAATTATTATGAAGGTATCACAGAAATTCTTCGGTTACACTAAGGAAAATCTATTTTTTTCTCAAATGCCACAGTAAAAAGAGACTTTAATTATGATTAGTTAAAAGATATGTTGAATTTTGGATCAACAAATGCTTTTTGGTGATTCAAGAATCACAATATTAGTCTTTTAACGAATAGCTGACACGTTTAAAGCACCTTTCATTTACTTCAGTTTAGGCAATTAGGTAGTATCGTTAGCTCTCACATCTGGATTGTGATTCTAAGTTGAATAAATCAACTTGTATTTGTTGAATATCAATTTTAATATATGACATTTGGAAAATATGAAACAGTGAAATAATGGTGAAGATACCTGCAGGCTATAATCCCATTTTATTACAGAGAATCATGTGGTAACCATTAGGCCTCATGAGAAGTTTCTCAAACTTAAATATATAAATCTGTACTTGATAAATGTAATATATTGACTAAAATCATCAAGAGTATATTGTATGGTGTCCTGTAAATCAAATAAATATGCAATATCGGAGGAAACTATCAATTACATCAGTTATTTTGCGAAAATAAACTTTAAGTCTAAGTTTCAAATCACAAACGCAACGGTTAACATAAAGTGAGGTTGAAATCATGATAAAACGTAAACAGAACACTATACTTTAACAGATTAACCTGAAATTTGGTGGTGAGGCAGCATCTAAACCAGCACAGGCCAAATTCACCGAAGCATAAGCCAGTAAAAATAGAACAGATACAAGTGGAGCGATAGCATTTAATCTACCAATCAGTAAAATTAACTATATTTTCACCAAACAAAAACAAGAACAAACAAATAGTGTATATCATAATTGATTTCTGATAAAATTCAGAAGAAATAAACAAGTGAATAATAATAAACAATAGGAATTAAAATCATCCTTAAGTGAAAAATTGTGTTATTTAAATAATTAAAAAAGTAATCTATTCCAAATTACTTATTAAATTAACATCAAAGGTACTAAGTAGGGAACATTATTCATAAGAAAACTAAGATTGTCAGAATTATGTGATTTATCAGAGTAATAAATTTCAAAAAACTCTGATCCCAAACTCTATCGACATAGTGGGAAACAACTCATAAGTTTACCATAACTTGGTTTTTGTTGTGTTGTACAAAATTGTTAAAGGGCATTTACTGAAGCCTTGACCATACGAAAATTCAAACCCCCTTTATACATTCAAAAACACTTTGTTCTCACCTTAAACCTACTCTGCTAATGTTAGTTTATTATCCAGAGTGATGTTTCATATTATTTTCTTTATTATCTTTGTCTCCTCCTCCCTCCCATTTCTAGTCTGAACGACTTCCTATTTTTATGTATAAATGTTCTTAACATGTGTATGTGATCGGATTGTTCGAAGTGTAATGCACAAATATATATAATCCTTGTCTTCTTATTACACTAACCAAATTTATCAAAGGGACTAATTGCTTTATTCATGTTGTTGAGATCGTTCAAAACATAACCTGTATGATAAATTTATTAGAGATCCAATTGAAGTCACTTGTATTGATTTAACAGAACCTTAAAGATGATCCTAACATTTTAAACCAGTATTAAGGCTTAAAGTCATGAAAAAAATACATTAAAAAATAAATAGGAAATTCATATCATATTGTTGATATATTTCTTGTAATGATGAACTTTGTACAAAAATCATATTCGCTTAGTTTCAGTTTTAATGTTAACGATAAGAAAAAGTAAACAATTATTTTCGAAATCTACTTTAATGTTTATAAATGGCTGTCAATAAAATACTGTATATGTACAACAGAATAGAAATTTCTATTATTTGATTGATTGATTTTAAACTGGTACCATTTACCGACATAGCCCTCTCATCGTTCTTAATGTTACTTATCTTTCTTTTAAATAAATACTCAATTCAAAAGTATTATTTCTGAATAGATAATCGAAACTAGAGTCCCAACCATCAAAGACAAATATTTCTTTACTCATTTGATGTACAGACTATGCTATTAAGATATTCATGCCCAAATAGGCTCTAATAAAACTAAACAGAGAACATTAATGAACCATGTAATGCCAATTAATGATACGATACAAGAAAAAAACTACCAGGAACACAATAAAACGTCAATCAATACTGAATAGATTTTGTGTGTGATTCAATGAATGAAAAAAAGAAAGATAGCAAGCTAATATTTCTTGTGTATTCCCCATTTGAAGAGAAATTATTTCAATAAGTGTTCGTGAAGTACATACTTGGTTTCCTTAAATAAAATTACTGGTGACAGAGCCTGATTAAAGAAAGTACCTATTATTTACAGTAAAATATGTATTAAGATTATCGAAAAAATCTCGGTTACCTACCATTTGAAGTTATTGGTATAATCGTATTGAAAAATATCGTAAAAACTTTGGAAACCTAACCAATGTGTTACAAAGTCATGTAACGTTTAAAAAAGATAAACAGATTCAGTATACACTTTACAGAAAGAATAAACGGATAGTATAAGCTAAAGTATGATTAAAAAAATTCTAGAAATTCATAAGAAAACAACTAGTGCCTTATAATTACAAATACTAATAAACATCTACTTTCAACAATTCACAAATGAATAAACAGTGCAGAATAATCAACTAACTCACCAAACAAAGAAACCCAGCAGAAAGGACTGCCACTATCGGATTTCCACGTTTTGTGGTCCATTTTGCTGGATGGAGAAGTCGACCTATTCAAAGCAAAAAGTCAATTATTATACTACATAATCGGCATTTGTTATGTGGTAATATTTTGTCCGACTGACTTCTGGATCTTGGAATCTTGAATGAAATATGACTTTTAAAAATATACTGAAATATTATTGAAAAAAGGCATTAAAATAAAGAAGGCTATGCGTAATGCAGGCCAATAATAAACTTGTCATCGATATGAGATAATATCTCATCGAAAACTATTGACTCACTTCATTCTATTTGTTGCCAAACAATAGAGTGGGATATATAATCATGAAGATAGTTGAATCAACATACATGAACATGATCTCAAGAGATAGCAGTAAAATGAAGACATATATAAGCAAGTAGTAAAACAATATATTATTGATAAGATTTAATATTTGCAAAGATTTATTAAGATTTCACTGACTATATATACAAGAAAATAGAAAAGTTGGAATTCATACAGTGAAAAAAAGTTAAACACAGACAATTGTTTGAGTTGATAGGGTTAGCCTCATACAAATTGTTGGCAATTTGGTTTGTGATAAGAATAATTAGCTAGCATGAATTGATATAACTCCGCCTAGAGTCCCTCCGGGGGCTACTGCCGGTCTCAAGCCCGGATAAAGGAGGAGGGTTTGGCATGGGGTTAGCAACCCCATTCCGTAGAAAACTAACTCGCTAAAAAAACGCTAACCAGAAAAAATTATTCAAACCTTTTAAACTCTGCCCTGGGAGTCAGAAGATCTTCATTTAGAAGAATTATGACGCCTCATGATGAAAGCCGAATCCCTTCGGAAGTTATGAGGCCGATGCCCCTTCTGACAACCAGAGCAACCATTTATTTAGGTACATGGAATGTTCGTACAATGTGGGACACCGGAAGAGCCTTCCAGATTGCTGCAGAAATGAGAAGATACAACCTAGATGTACTTGGGATCAGTGAAACACATTGGACACGAGTTGGACAACAACGACTAACTACAGGAGAGCTCCTGTTATACTCCGGCCATGAAGAAGAAAATGCACCACATACACAAGGAGTTGCATTGATGCTGTCCAAACAAGCACAAAATGCACTTATAGGATGGGAATCTCATGGACCAAGGATCATCAAAGCCTCGTTTAAAACAAAGAAAGAGGGCATTTCAATGAACATCATCCAATGCTATGCACCTACCAACGACTACAATGAAGACGCGAAAGATCAATTCTACAATAGGCTGCAGTCAATAGTCGAGAAGTGCCCAACAAAGGACCTGACCATTCTGATGGGAGATTTCAACGCCAAGGTTGGAACGGACGACACTGGATATGAAGATATCATGGGACGACACGGACTGGGAGAAAGAAACGAAAATGGTGAGAGATTTGCAAACCTATGTGCCTTCAATAAGCTGGTCATAGGCGGCACCATATTCCCACATAAACGCATACACAAAACCACATGGACTTCACCGGATCACTCTACACAAAACCAAATCGACCATATTTGCATCAACAAAACGTTCAGGAGGACTATAGAGGACGTGAGAACCAAGAGAGGAGCTGATATAGCATCAGATCATCACTTGCTGGTCGCCAAGATGAAATTGAAACTCAAGAAGCACTGGACAATGGGGCAGACAATATCACAAAAGTTCAATACGGCCTTTCTCCAGGATACTAACAAACTCAACAAATTCAAGATAGCCCTCAGCAACAAGTTCCAGGCCTTTCATGATCTACTCAATGGAGAAGGAACTACTGTGGAGAGTAACTGGAAGGGGATCAAAGAGGCAATCACTTCAACATGTCATGAGGTCCTGGGTCACAAGAAGCACCACCACAAGGAATGGATCACTGTTGGTACACTGGATAAGATTCAAGAAAGAAGGAACAAGAAGGCAGCAATCAATACCAGTCGAACAAGAGCAGAAAAAGCCAAGGCACAAGCTGAATACACGGAAATAAACAAACAAGTGAAGAGGAGTATCAGAACCGACAAACGTAAATATGTGGAAGATTTAGCAACGACGGCGGAAAAGGCTGCAAGAGAAGGAAACATGAGACAACTGTATGACACGACAAAGAAACTCTCTGGAAATCGCCGCAAACCAGAACGACCAGTGAAAAGCAAGGAAGGCAAGGTAATCACCAACATTGAAGAGCAACAAAACAGGTGGGTAGAACACTTCAAAGAACTGTTGAATCGACCAGCTCCACTGAACCCACCCAACATCGAAGCAGCACTCACGGACCTCCCAATCAATGTTGGCCCACCAACAATTGAAGAAATCAGCATGGCCATCAGACAAATCAAGAGTGGCAAAGCAGCAGGACCGGACAACATCCCAGCGGAGGCACTAAAAGCAGACGTAGCGGCAACTGCAAGGATACTCCACATTCTCTTCAATACGATTTGGGATGAGGAACAAGTACCAACAGACTGGAAAGAAGGACTACTGATCAAAATACCGAAGAAAGGCGATCTCAGCAAGTGTGATAACTACAGGGGCATCACTCTTCTCTCAATACCGGGAAAAGTCTTCAACAGAGTATTGTTAAACAGGATGAAGGACTGCGTAGACGCCCAACTTCGAGATCAACAGGCAGGATTCCGTAAGGATAGATCGTGTACAGACCAAATCGCAACTCTACGGATCATTGTGGAACAATCAATTGAATGGAATTCATCACTCTACATCAACTTCATTGACTACGAAAAGGCATTTGATAGCGTGGACAGAACAACACTATGGAAACTTCTTCGACACTACGGCGTGCCTCAGAAGATAGTCAATATCATACAGAACTCATATGATGGATTACACTGCAAAATCGTGCATGGAGGACAGTTGACAAAGTCGTTCGAAGTGAAGACCGGTGTTAGGCAAGGTTGCTTACTCTCACCCTTTCTCTTTCTCCTGGTGATCGACTGGATCATGAAGACGTCAACATCTGAAGGAAAGCGCGGGATACAATGGACATCTAAGATGCAGTTGGATGATCTAGACTTCGCAGACGATCTGGCCCTTCTATCCCAAACGCAACAACAGATGCAGGAGAAGACAAACAGTGTGGCAGCAGCCTCAGCAGCAATAGGTCTCAATATACACAAAGGGAAAAGCAGGATTCTCCGATACAACACAGCATGCACCAATCCAATCACAATTGACGGAGAAGATTTGGAAGATGTAAAAACCTTTACGTATTTGGGCAGCATCATTGATGAACAGGGTGGATCTGATGCAGATGTGAGGGCGCGGATCGGCAAAGCAAGAGCAGCATATTTACAACTGAAGAACATCTGGAACTCAAAGCAACTGTCAACCAACACCAAGGTCAGGATTTTCAATACAAATGTCAAGACAGTTCTACTGTATGGGGCAGAAACCTGGAGAACTACAAAAGCCATCATCCAGAAAATACAGGTGTTTATCAACAATTGTCTACGCAAAATACTTCAGATCCATTGGCCGGACACTATTAGCAACAACGTACTGTGGGAGAGAACAAACCAGATCCCAGCGGAGGAAGAAATCAGGAAGAAGCGCTGGAAGTGGATAGGACACACATTGAGGAAAGCACCCAACTGCGTCACAAGACAAGCCCTCACATGGAATCCTCAAGGCCAAAGGAAAAGAGGAAGACCAAAGAACACATTACGCCGAGAAATGGAGATAGACATGAGAAAAATGAACAAGAATTGGATGGAACTAGAAAAGAAAGCCCAGGACAGAGTGGGTTGGAGAATGCTGGTCAGCGGCCTATGCTCCTTTGGGAGTAACAGGCGTAAGTAAGTAAGTAATGAATTGATATAAAATATTATACTGTGAAGTTTATTTTGTTTTAAATCTTTATAAAGCTTTAGGACAAGACGAATTTTCATTTTAACAAAGTAAGTTTGGCCTAACCATCTGTACAGTTTCACGTACTTGACTTTGAGCTGCGCTTCATATGTAAAAACGGAAAACATTACACGGTTGCCAAAACGAGGTCCCGATATTCCATATAAGCATTTATCAATAGCTTTGAAGAAAAACTAGTTATATTTCAATAAATAATATATTTGTAATATCCCAGTGAGTAGAAAAATTAGATTTTCTGACATTTCGTGACTTAATGTAAGTCACTTCTTCAGAGAATTAATCCAAGTTTAAATAGTACGAAACAATAAGAATCTGAAGTGGCTTACATTAAGTCACGAAACGTTAGAAAATCTAATTTTTCTACTCATCGTGATATTAAAAATATATTATTTATTTATAACAATCTACCCGATGCTCAATTTATTCGAAATTATCAAATCAAACCTTGGTAATGATACCTACAGTAACATTTCATTACATAATACAATATAAAGCGTTATTGATTAGTCAAAATTACCAAATAATTCATCACGAGCTATCGCCTCCAATATACGTGAAGCTCCAATAAGATTGCCTAAAGCTGCTGATAATGTAGTGGCAAAAACACCTATTACAACGATTGGTTGCCAAAAACTAATTGATTGCATAAATATATTGTTATTTAATAACAGACATCTATGACATAATAAAAAAAAGATATAACAAGAGCAAATATGAAAAAATGATGCTAGAGACATCCACAAATCAATCAAATAATCAAAGTTGCATCGTTAAATCCAAAGAAAAACAAATAGTATGTTTATGGCACTTTTTACTGAGAAAAAATATATATTTAAAAAAAAACTATAGCGTGTATCTTTGATCGAACTTAGATACACTTTAAACGGATGAAATAAAATATTCTCGCCTAATATAATGACATTTTAGTACTTAGCAAAGAAACATAGAGAATAATTAAGTAATCTGATTACAAATAATATAATTCTTTATTAATGAATATTTCAATTCTTAAAGTAATGAACATAATAGTAATTTCAACTAACTACATTTATTACTTTGTATGATGATGAGGAGAAAGCAATGAAATTGAATGAATTGATTGTATTCAGTATTTAAAAAATTATTGCCCTTGCTTTGTTACACGATACATGATCAGTAATCACAGAAATATAAACAGATTTCTAAACCCTGATTTTTTTTATCGATTAATATCTTACTGAGAAAGTTAAATCACTAGTTAACAGTTTACAAAATGAATCATAATACTCGAAAATTATGAAAATATTCAAATATATCTTGGTTCTCTAAGATATTATCATGTATTCCTTATATGGTATATGCTACTGATGTCGACAGATATAAATATTATGTGTCAGTCTGTGTTCTCGATCACTACACTTGTAATTACTCATTAGTAGTTCAACACGTTGATGTAAAAAAAGAATAATGCAAAGATCTAGAACTTTTAAAATATGAAGTCAGTTATTTCCTGTGAGAAATAATCACGGTACTATATCTGAAAATTATGAGCAGAGTATAATCATATTGAATAGAAATATTCTAAAACTAAATACATGTGTTTACACTAATATATATGTATGAACGAAGAATATTCTTTTTACTAATATCTCATCAGGTTCTACAATTATAAATCCAAATTAATAATCCATAAAGTTGGCCAGATTTAAGGCAGAGTACGTCATTTAAAATTGTAACTCGTGAATTAAGGATTGTTCTACTTACAAGGAGAAAAGACGGGTCATTAAGAAGAAACGTAAACAAGAAAACTACTTGGACAGGCCAATATACAAACTTTCTTACTTTTGTTCAGATCAATGCAAAGAACTATTAATGCAGGTAAACCACAATTAATGTCTTGCACACGTTCAATGATCACTCCGAGTTTGAAAGATAAATTGCCTAGACTAGCCACTTTTCTGTATCTATCAATTCAACTGCTCCTGTGGAGCAGATGTTCTAGGAATTTGTCTATTCGGGCTTGTTAGCACCTCTCAGTGTGGTTAAGCAAAGGTGTAGTTAAAACGGTTAACAGCTCCATTTTAGTCCACTTAATTCAGACGAGACATAAAACCAGCAATGTTTCCCAATAATAAATCGTGTCAACAGCAATATACCTAATTCCGTCAGACCAAGAATCCTGCGGACGGCTGAAGCAATTGCTATTCGGATCAAAAAGCCAGAGCTGTGCATCCAAATGAAATACATTCAGCCGCTCCTTTTAGCCTGGCCAACTAATTAATAATCAATTTTATGATATGGTGATGTGATTTGATTAATGTTCATTTTTATTACCCAAACTTATTTTATCCACGCATCTTACGATTGTCATTATTATTATTATTATTACCCTTAATAACCGTTTTGAGAAATTTATTTAGCATCCACCCCTACCTACTATACCTGACCTAAGACATATTAAGTAATCTCTCCTTCAGCTCATGTTGACCATATTTATTCTGATCATTTATCTCACAATTTCATTTCGCTCGTAAACTGATTCAAGTTAACATTTGATACTAGTCATCCCAACATTAACGATTTGATTTTATATAACAAATAAGAATTCTTGATTAACATGTTACAATTTTAAATGATGTACTCTGCCTTAAATCTGGCCAACTTTATGGATTATTAATGTGGATTTATAATTGTAGAACCTGATGAGATATTATTGAAAAGAATATTATTTTTTCATATAATTGCGTTTTAATATAATGGGAATTTTTCAGTGATTAAAATATATATGTATAGATAAAGAGATAGATACATCAAACCATTTATCACCATGAAACATATGATGTTATGTAAGTTGACTACAAATTGAATTGAACCAATAACTTAACATCTAACGCAATAGAACTTTAGATGAATACAAAATGAATCTAATTTCCTACCAAAATATGACCAAGTTACAACGACAGACCTGCTTACTTTATGTCAACTGATGCCAGTAATCAGAGTGACATTACCCCCTTTCTTTATTTCGACGAGTTTCCCTTTGTTAAGTGGAAGTACAGTGTTTTGAGTTAATAAAGTACTGTTCAAGACTCTAAATTAAACTACGTCATGATAAATAACCCAAATAACCAGAAATTATGAGTTGTGACAAAACTTCTAATGTATAAAAATACAGTCCAGTTGGTCGTCAGGATGCTCATTGAACAAGTAGGTCTCAGACTTCATAGTTTACGGTGGTAAATTATTCGTAAAAAGCTGATAGCCAAGTTTACTAACGAGATACCATTGTGGTTGGCTGGATACATCTCTTAAAGATGTTTTAAAAGTGTTGAAAAAACACTTAGTTTTAATCAGGTGACTTATGGTTCATATAATCTCTAAGTACTAATGAACAGTTATATGTGCGTGACGACGAAATCCATAAAAATATATTAGTAGATTAAGAATAAAACTGAAAGGTAGTGTATGAGAAACTTGCTTACCGGCTGTTAGAAGAAGCTGAGAATATCATCATAACGAGATAAGTCAACAATGTACAAAGTAAAGCAGATAGAGTTCCCAAAGGGATTGAACGAGAAGGATTCTTTAATTCACCTAAAAAAGTTATATATAAAGAAGATTGTGGTAATATACTATGTGCCACATGCAAAAGAGTATTTCTTGTTTTATCTATTTCAATGCTTTTTGAAAGTCTCTAGCATTGAAGGATTCAAGCCTTCCTAGTACTTCATACCCTATTCCAATCCATTCAACTTCGGGTAAACGTGACCACTGAAACCAGGAAAAACAACACATCAGTTCCCTTTTAAAAATATAACGACTACTTGTTCAACAGACAATGACGCAAGCCCTAATTACCCTCTTCCATATTACACTGAAAAATTTAACTAGCCTTACCACCAAATTATTTTGCTTCAAAATCACGGCTTAATGAATGAGGTTTAACAAGAAAAACAGCTCAGCTCCCCGACAAGTCAAGGCACAATAAAGGGGCCAGAAATATCATAATCCTTGCAAAATAAATGTGACTCCACATTCTTAGCGTAAAACGTTTCATATGCTTTTACAAAATGGAGCTAAATGTCCGTACGTCTTAATAAATGAAAACAAAATTAAGGCTTTTTAAGGTAAGTAGAACGATAATTGAGATTGTATAAGTGGCAAGACGTATTCGCTTAATTCATGATAATTATAACAATATGATGTATTTGTCACATATCAATGAGTAGAGAATTGAGTTTCTTCAAAAAAATAGTGATGTTGTGGATTGCAGCTCAAGTCATGAAGTCCACTGTTAGTGACTTTCGAAGAGCATTGTTCGCAATCTAAGTTACATTTCATTCATTGCTAAAATTATTTGAAATTATCAGGTCGAAATTAGGTAGTGATATTGACTAAATGCAATCAAACGTGTTCAACAAGGATCGGTTAACCAAATTATTCTTTCACCACATTTTCCATCTTCATCCTTTATCCGCTTAGAACTGTAAGAGGACTTTTACTATTAATCTTTATGGGAGAAATATATTTTCAAAGTATTCACTATTTCTATTTATTGGGACGGCTTTCGATGGGCATGATGGAGCTTCCAGAGGCCTTAAAGGAGCCGAAGAGTTTCCACTCAGTCACAACCTGATAGGGCTTTCTAGAATATTAACATGGCATACTACGATCGGACGGTAGTATAACTTGCCTCCTTGCGGGTTGGTTGAATTATAACGATGTTATAGCCAACGCTAGCAACCATAAATACACATGTTTTCCTGCACATTTTTGAATCTTACCCAATAATCACTCATCCTGCTTCTTCTGTCTTCTGATTTGCCACTGTGAGGTTCTACACGTTTGATTGCCGTCAATAATATATCGTGTTCTGCGTTAATTAAGTAAAAGACTCAACAATATTATTATTGGTTGTTCAACAAATCTACTCTACAAATGACATCAACTAATGAATACCCTGCACAGGCCGAACCCCATCTTAGCAACTTAACGATTAAACAAAACATAATAATGATAGTCTGTGCTTACACTTTATATGATACCACATATTCCAAAAATACAAGAGAGTATGCCTCAATTGTTTCTGGGATTCATATGTTAAAGCGCGTAACTCGCTACAGCAAGCAACTTTCCAAATCTGATTACCGACTTATTTCGATGAGCCAGCTCACTCTATGATTCATAAAGATGTGCGATATGATTTTATCTGAGCTCACCCATGACAAATGCACTCGAATATCATATCTCTACTCACAAAACATTTTATGTATTCCGTTTTATTATAGAGATGCAACAATCGTCCGTAAATCTCACTCTTCAACGTTTGCAATTTTATTCACGATTTGGAGTAATTTTTAATTATAGTTACGTATTTCAAGACAAATCGAGTAATTTTGACTTTGACACTTTTGGGTGTAACTTGTAGTTTTTGATTTTAGGCATAAAATTGACAATCTTATATATAAATATATACTTATGCATAGTTTGAGCATATGCTATTGAAAAATAATTTTTGGGATAAATGAAGATTTAATCAAAGTATATTGAGCGGTAAAACCTTGAATATGAATAGACTGATGAAATGAGAAAGTAATATCAACATACCAGATACATTTGCACCGTTCATTATCCCAGTTACACCAGAAAATAATACGGAGAAAACAATGACGAAAGACGTCAATGAACCAGTGGTATAATCAATTGAATACATAGCTAAAAGAGTACCAAAATCCAGAAATACAATGGTTAATTTATATAATACACATATATAATTCTTCTAGTTTCAGTCATCATTTAGTCAGAACTATCAATCTCAACCTTTGCATTGACACCTACATAACTAAGTTTGTTTGTTCTTGTGGATCTGTCCCCGCGAGAAAGACTTTTCGAGTATGGAGGTAATATTGTCTTACTGTGGGATGATACCCAAGCCATGCAATCCACACTTAGTTGGCAACCAGTGGCCGTAGGTATTCCATGTGCTTTGCACTCCCCCATATGAAAAGTACTGTTACAAGACTAGCAGGACTTTGAACCTCCAATCCCTGTTGGTAGTGAGAATTTAGAAGTAGTCAAGAAGTTCGTGTATCTGGGTAGCTGCATAAGTTTTGATGGTGGCGTAAGTGATAAGATCAGTTCACGTATAGGATATTAGACGACTTTCTGTGTTTACTCGTTGTTTTCTCCGAACGATTGCTGACATCCAGTGACATCATGTCAGTAATGCAGAGGTTCAGGAACGTGTGTTCGAGTACAGAGACAATAATTCAAACGGTGTCACCATTTTGAAACACTGAGTCCGGTGGCTTGGACATATCCTACGAATTCCACACCGTGCATTATTCGCCGATACTGCGACTGGTTGGAAAAAGTGGAGAGCTGGTTAATGTATGACATGCTATTGTCGTGCGTAAGAAAGAAGTACAGGACTGGCTTCTGTTGGTCCTTTATGACTCATTGTTGGGGTCCTAAAGACGGTGCAACACAGTAGCTTGAGCCGTTATCAGATATGGCTTATAGTAAAAGCCAATGGTGATTCTGCTGTAACTTTCTTTTACCTTTTTCATTAACGCGAGAGTAAATTCTTTAACTGACGGAATTCCTTCCGGTTGTATTCCTCTTGACTGAACGGTTTCTCACATTATAATTATGATTATTTTGCTCTCAGACACTGATTTTTATTCACTTTTGTTCTTCTATTTTTATCATGCTTTCCTTTCGCGTTCTCTTCACGACTGCTTTCACTGAATTCTAGCTTTGACCTCAATTAATATTCAAATTAACAGTTTTGAGGACATTACTGGTTAAATGACTATTTGTATAGAAAAGGATATTGATTGAACGACAAATCAGAAGCATAAAAAGCAGTGTTTCGTTTGTACTACATTAACTTGGATTAATTTTGATTTGGTTACTTATTCTCTGAAGCAGTGGTTTACACTAAGTCACGAAACGTCAGAAAATTTGATTTTTCCACTCATTGGGATATTACAAATATATTATTTAGTTACAGTGCACATAAGTTTCGTCGTATTCTAGTAAGTTTAATACATATGATCTTCCATGTAAACTTAACTTGAGATAGTCTGATGGGACTAAATCAGAGTTTGATATAAAGTCTACGAATCGATTACAGTAGTTCAAATGTATTAACATAAAACCATCTAAAGATTGTAAGAAGGCATCACGATCGATAAAATGAACAGAGAGGAGCATTAACGATCAAAGAGAATTGAAATAAAGGTCAATCAGTTAGATTATACGGAATGATTTAAAATCAAATAAGGCTTCAAATAGATAAAACATTTTTGAAGTACTACAACAACTATTTTCCATGAAAGATACATTGTGCCGATTTCTCCTAAAAATTATGAATCTGTATTTTTGTTTTAACGCAAACTCGAAATGATATCAACCAATTTTTACATACTAAAATCGTGTACACTCTGAGTAATCTAAAAACTAAGATAACATAGCACATCAATAACTGATTTTAAAATCAAAGAATAAGAAAGAGTAGAAAAATTGTAACACCGCCGCAAAACATAGCCATATAAAATCTCCAATTATCGATCTATGTTAATTTCAAGGATACCAAGCACACAGATCATATCCTAAACATTTATTTTCTTTGAATCAACGATGTAAAAAGAACGTCCGCAGTGTTAGAAGGACCAATTTCTAACAAATTAACAACATACATATAAACTTAGCTAATAGTGTGAAAATGGTTCAAACAAACTAGCCATTTTTCTGTTCATCAGGGACATAGTGATAAAATCGTCTCATAAGAAAATCAAATATATAGGATATGTGCTTCGTAGAATACAGATGTACGAGTAATCATGTTTTCATTTATTTACCACGTTTCAGTTGCTGTCTTAGAATGCAAACTGTTTTCATATTCTTATTTCCATAGAGCCGATTTGAAAGGTGTCAATCGAAAGGTAATAGATAAGAAAACGTAATGCAAAAGAAGAATTTATTTTATATCATTGATTTCTTACCAGCTGAAGACTGTATCTAGTCGATAAGATACCAATCAAACAAAGTCAATTTATTTTATCTTGTCATTTTGTGAATTAAATTTTTATTGACCTACAAAACCCATAAAATAGTAGTCTGTGACTTCAGAAATTACTATCAAGGCTTTTTAAATTTTATTTCTGCTCCACCTAGCAAATTATTTTCGGTAAGACAGATGTTTAGTATGTGTTAGGCGGACTAAAGCATATATATATGGAACAGTGGTTTACCGATTAAAGCCCTGAGCTTCTAATCACTGTGTCAGAGATAATGATATGAAGAAGATGCTTCGATTGCCTAAATTTTTCAACTTATATTTAAATTCATTTATTTACCGATACGCACAGTTAAAAACTGATCATCTCTTAAAACCTAAGGCTATATTAATCGAGATATTTTGAGAAAATTAACTCTGAACTATATAGAATTATAGTAAATAAACTTGAAAAGAACCTTACACGTGGCACGATTACCAGAATTAACCTCTAGATTACTAGCTTAGTACATAATATCAAATGAATTGAATCCAATTTTGATAAGGTTGAGATTTTCTTCCTGTTTCGTTACAAATGTGTGAGTAGAGTCATTAGAAAGTAATGTCTATGTGAAATACGATATGTAACTAATCAATATACATTACAAAACAAACACTGCTTCGGAGAAAAATTGATTAATAATAAGGAATTATACAAAATTCGAGTGATAATTAGAAATATAACCAACAACAAATAAAGGGATATTCACATGTTTCTTCAATACCGGAATAAAATGAACTTACGATAAATATTTTCTTTGAATGTATTCCCATTTAAGCCAGTAAACTCGGCAAATATAGTTATATTATTTGATGTTGATGAATTATAAATAAGCGAATTAGATCTTGGCAAAGGTATCAATTTGGGTTGTAGAAAGAAACTAGCAAATACGCAGATAATAACAATAACCACAACCTGTAACAAGAATTTTTTTAAATAAATACAAAATGTTGAGAATAGTATATGCTATTGAATATGATCAAGTTATTTTTACGAAAGGAAATATATGAGAAGTATATATGGCTTCTAATTATTCATATAATTCATGCAAAATCTAGTACAAATGAGTACTAAAAACAGAATGTGTTTAATAAAATAAAATTTGTGTAAACCAGGATACTGTTGAGACGTCCAAACCGAGGCAGGAAGTTTTTTGAGGGGACCGCTAACTCAAACTCTAATCTAAATGCCTTATCTATAGGGGAATAGATCAACATTGAGAAATGCAACCCCATGGTAGCCGGTGACTAAAGATATCTTCATAAGCTATAGGATCCTGGAACCTATGTCCACTATTGGTTTGGAATCAGTGTTCCAACTCCTCCATGAGAATCCTCTATATATATCAACCCTGTTTAAGGCCTCGACGTGTACCCCTACTACGTGAAGGCAATGAGCAGGAATTCCTAAACAGAAGCTTTAAACGCAAAACCAGACGAGAACATCACGGGAGGGAGAGCGCAAACTCTCTACACTTGGTCATAACCAGGGCATTTGAGCCACATATTGTATGACGAGCATGAAGTAAATACCCTAGTTTATGATGTTCAAGAATATTATTCGATTTATTGAATTGTGTAGTTCACATTATCAAATAAATAAGATATTCTCTCAACGATCATCACCTATCAGGGAAAAGAAATGGTGATCAAAAAAGCCATCTTTTCACGTATGATCTTATCACGTTTTCAATGTATTTCCGTTGCCAGAATAAAATAACTTAATTAGGTTTTAAAATAAATACGATGATGATTAATTAATTTATCATATAATAGAACGCAAAATAAGGTCGACATTTCAAGATTTATTTGAGTTACTAATATTATCCAAATAAGTTTTATGTAAAATTTTACATATGATGAACTAAAATGATTAGTTAATTTACGAGTATGTCTCATAATATATACGACTCATTTAAAAAGGAGTATTAACACAATGATTCAGATACCAACCCACACATTAAATCTTTCTTATCACACAATGACTTAGCAACGTTTGCGAAGTAACTAAATATATCACATAGTGAAGAGGATCATATAAACTAAATAATTTTAAGTAGCGTGCTTAAAGGAAATAAGTATTTTAAAAACTTGGTTTACCAGATATAGACAGATGGAAATCTGTATAGCGAATAAAGACTATTCATCAGTCTTGCAACACTTTTATGGAGGAACAAAATATGGAAGTATACATGTAACGTCGTTACGGAGTAAGGGACTCGGCAAAGGAAAAGAAATGTATTTGCAATATAAAACAATAAAAGCATTTACAATAAACGACCATAATATAACTAAACTATGGTTTAGTGTCAGACAACTGATGAACAAATGAAATTCCAACGATTTTGTTGATCAATGAAAACTAAACCTTGAGTAATCTGTAGTTTACAGTCGGAAAAAGTACGTAACAATAAGAATGGCAACAACAAATATAAAATCGATCTAACAAATAAATCGGTACATACATTTGAGCGAAATTGGATACCAATGACGAAAAAAATGATAAAAAGTCACAGTGTACCACCTTGAATACATTTTCAGTAAGATAAAAACATAATTTTCTAACTTTGGTAAACATAAGCTGATTTGCATAATACTCCAAAGTTGAATATATTTTTCATGACTCACCTTAACATCTAAAAAACAGATTGTTTGATGGTTTCTAATTTCTAAATCCTACAACTAGGCGTCAGCATGACATCTATTGAAAAAAACATTAAGTATTCCTAGCTTAAAGATATTGCATTAAGTATACCGTAGAGTAGTAACCTCGACTGCTAACAGACAACGGTTGTTACGGGGTAAAAGTAGTTGTGTGACTCAATGCAGAAACTAGTTATTTTCCCAGTGCTAAAAACCTGTAAAAATACTCAAAAAAACCCACAAACATATAGACTTTCCGAAATAGTACAATAAGACTGAGATGCAGTGGTAGACAAATTTGACCATCACAACTAAACAACAACAGTTGGTCGGGTAAATGAATACGAAGCCATACCAATATTATAAAAAAACAAAAAGAATAACTTGAAATCTAATTGTTCTGCTAGTTTAATAGGCGATAGATAATTTACACTTAAAACTACCAATACAAATTACTTTATCATTAAAATAATAAAAATATTCATAATATAATAATAATAATATATGTATTTGCAAAAATGTCCTTTGAAATCATCTACATTTAACAAGTCTGAAAAACACTATTAACTAACTATTTATTATTCACAACACTATGGAAGAGGGAGGATGAAATAACTGAAATGGTACATTACAAGTAAAAAAATATAAACAGTACACCAAACAATAACGAAATATGCACTATTTGGTGACAATTTACTTATTATTACCAGTACTAAAAACAGTAATTTCAATAAAATACAGGTACTTATGAAATAATACAAAGTTCGTATTACAACTTTTCTATCCTCAAAAAAAATCTTAGTTGATATTATACGTCTAAGAATAGAGGAATACGCACCTTTTTATAAGAAATACCACACAAATATAACTTAATTAATCACTGCATTATACTCTACAGTTATCTTTACAAGGAATTTAGAAATATTTACAGTGAACTGAACCTATATTATATGAATTTGATCATTAATTGTTCAAATCATAGAACTATGAATTTAAACATCAAAGGTTTTTGCATATATGCAGAATTACAAACTCGGACATATCAAGTGTGTTTAACGGATTACTTAATCAGGATGTAAGTAGCTGTTACGTTACATTCATTCCGACTAAATTTAGCTGCTGATATTTGTAAAATAGTTGAGTAAATTTGATCCTCTAAGTGGTTTCATAATACAGTGGTATTGATTACAAATGGTAGTAAAATGAGAAATTGAGGTACATATTCACAAATGAGGAAAATGTTACAGTGACATAAAACGTAGTAAAATAATTCAAGAGCCTAATAAAAATGTGAAAGAATGAAATTATTTCACTGTGGTCAATATCAAACTATCTCGCTTGCAATCTTTATAACCATAATCATGGGAAATTAATTCATGGGAAACTCATTGTAATATTTATAAAGGGTTGAGTTTGTAAGGCGTAAACATGATTCCTTTGAAATCACATCTCTTTGGCAACTTCCCATGGTTGATACTGTTCATTTTTATACGACTGTTTGCGTTAAGTGACAACTGTATGCAAGTAATGCTGAGATTTAACACTGTGAGTGTGGGAATAGTCGATATCATTATTCATTCGATAAGTTCACTTTGAAGACATTGGCTTAAGTACATTATGATTATGAAATATCGGTATCTTTCATTTCGACAGCTGTTTGCAAATGTTACGAACAGTCGAAAGAACTTTAACGTGTGGGAGACTATCTCACTTGCGTTACATATGTCGCTCATAGAATCGCCTAGAAAAAAATCGACATTTGAAACTCACACCTTAAAAGACAACAATCTGAAAGTAACCTCGAATCATAGAATTAACATATGAAAGTATTTTAATCTCATGGAAAATAATAACAAATACAACTAGATACATCATGATGAAATTGGACTTAAAGCTTAATCTTTTATCTTTAGGCTGGTTGTTTTCTTTCTAAAACAAACAGTCGACACGATTGATAAGAGGAAATATATAAATATTATTACCATTACATTTTGTGATTTATGAAAAAAACAAATGAGTGACATTAATCCATATTTAGTTTCTTTTCATCAATAGTCATTGTCATTATAATAAGCATCGAAAACAATTTTGTAATATTGACATTTCTTAGAAGTATAAACTCCACAGTACTCAAAACATAAACAAACGAGGAACACAGTAACACTGAGAAATTTGTAAGGTTTACAGAACTATATTATGTTTAGACTTAAATCAATTAGATTAACCCGAGGTACAGGATAAATCGTCACAAGTGAAAGTGAATATATCATAAAAATGAATAGAAAGTTCAGTGAATAACCTTACAAAACATTTAATCATACATTAAAGCCGAATTGTCACTTCAATAAAATAAGGACACTTGGAGAGAAAATTACTAAAATTGAAAGCAATGCCAATAAATACCTAACTATATAAAAGTTTAGAAAGAACTAATAAGAACATATCAAACTGTAATCGACCATCAGATAGTGATTTACATCAATATTTGTTTGTAGATATGTATGCATAAGGTTGATTGCTTGAAGTTATAAATATTCTTGACTAAATTTCACGTAAATGGATAATCAACTAACAACTAGACGAAAAACTAAGTGGTATTTTGCTGTCAGACCGTGAAAAAAATAACGTTACATTGGTGTGAAAGTATTTGAGGGTGTTATTTGTCTGATTTTCGTTCATGGAAAAAAAATGTATATGTACAGCAACAATTTGAAGGATAAATGTGTGAGCATTATGAGGGAGCTTTAAACCAGGATGATATATTTATCTAGTCCCTCCTGAATTTTTTAATGCTTACTTAGCTGGTATCAGATTGCAATGAAGAATATCTTTAAAACGAAGACTATTGTGTAATTAGAAATGCAAAAGGTATGTATGATACTGTTATTTTAACCAGATTCGTATACATTTTCAATATATTACCTGCACTTCGCTGCACCATTCCATCGAAAATACAAATAACTAACTTCATTAATAATTATATGGGGATGATTGTTCTAGGCACTAGATGTATCTAGGATTCTATACAAATTATCACAAATTATTTCGACCACGATGTCAGTTTAACTAAACTTACTGCAAGAATGAAGTACAGAGCACGAGCAAACATTTGACTACCAATTAATAGGATAGACATACAAAGTGCAAGAATAACTATGGCATACAGGTAACTCCACCAGTGATTTTCACCAGGTAGTACCCCATCGAATAAAATACCTTAGAAAAAGAATAAATACAAACACAAATATGAAACTAGTACAAACCAAAATGTTAAGTATCATCAATATTTCTGACCCAGAATTACGGCGCATATAATACAATTTCTACAGCTGCAGTTCAAATGGTATTTTAAAACTAGCCTACCATTATTTTTTTCCAGTGACTCAACGAACAGTTTCAGTTGCGCATCATGAAGGCTGATATCAGGAGTAACAAGAGATTAGTACAATGGATGATTTTTGTTTCGCCGCTATCACAGTAAAAAGTAACGTGATTATGTCAGAATATATCACCGATACGAAAATATACCAAAAACAAGCACTTTTTGTGACTAACGAAATAACCTAGTATAAAGAAATTTTATACGAAAAAAGTTTAGAGCCTCCAACAACAAAACTATGGGTCATAAATTAACCTTTATCTGTAAGCATAATTTTAAGGAATCTTTCATCTTCAAAAGAGCACTACTTAATGAACCATCAGGAAGAAAATAACATTATAGTCAATAGCAGCTTTACGACTAATTAGGAATATACCTCAGTGAGTCTAGTTTCTGACAAAGGACTTCGACTAGTGGTCAAAATAACCGACTTCCAACAACCTGAGTGTAAATCTTACACTGTCTGCAAAGTTATAACGAGTGAGTAAAATCCTAAATGCTCAAATAATAGGCGTGATCAACCAAAGAATATATATCTATGAAGGTGGTTACTGAGCTGTAGTATTTTATTGCAAGTCCTAGAACAATATCATAGAAAAACTCATCAGCGAAAGGTAAATACAACGGACAAGGTTTATATTTCGATTTCGAAGATTATTCAGGTATAATTTCTACGTTTAAAATACAGTCTCGTAGTTATATTTACAAAAACTAACTAACCTCCAGGACCGAAATTTATGAGCACAGCTTCCACTAATCCCGCTATATACAAAGCAGCACTACAAACTTGTGCGAGGAAAAATATCGATCCAATAGCTCCACCGAATTCAGGGCCTAAAGTCCTACTAAGCATGACTAATTGATTTTTTCATCAAGGAAATCAGTTACAGTTAATATGTGAAAACAATTTCAGAAAACACAAAAACGTATTGATATATACCGTAATAACTACTTCACTTTGAATAAAAGCTTGAGTGAACTGAACGAATACAACTCTACGCGATACTCAGTTTCGTCATAGAGTATTATATAATGGCTGTAAGTCGGTTGATAAGAACCAAAACCTTAGTCAGTTAGTGCATTTGAGACATGTTTGGCCATAGACTCCTCCGAAGCAATGTTGGCTGAAGTAGAAAAAATGTAGAAAGCTACACGTGTCTAAACAAATAAACCCTAACAGTAAGTGAAGTCATTATTAGATAGAGGCGTTCATGGAGTGGCAAGCTTTCTGGTTGCTTGAGTAGTAGTCGGAATCAATTGTTCAGTCCCAATGCAATATCTTTATTCATTCCTTACCTTTGTTTAGATTGAGATTTATAATATTATCCCATGAACTGTCAAAAACCGTCCAGCACTACTAGGTTTCCAATAATAGTTTAACTAAGATGAGTTCATAATCTATACTATGAAAATTACATTGAGATTTTGACTTATTCGCTCTTCCTCTACCTGTTATTGATAAAGTATGTTAACGCAGGCTGCTACACATTGTTTATGGTTAGCTATACTACATGCGAAAATTTTTAAACTGGTAAACATATGGTATGTATGCATTATTATCGGGAAACCTCATGATTCATAGAGTCAACGACTAGAAGAAATACTGTTAATGTGATCATTCTGAATCATTACAACCAGAGTATATGATCGAGAACATAGACTAGATTTTTACAACATACTATGACAATATTATTCCAGTTTCAGGTATGATATTGCTATAACGAAGCAGTTACCCTTGACTTAATTTCAAAACATCAGATTTATTATCAGCATTATATATCATAACTAGTGAAACTTCTGAATGGTTTCATATTCAATTCAATTACTTAACTGCTTCCTTTATGTGTAGGCACTATCAGATCCATAATGAATAATTTTAAAAATCTTTACCAAATGAAATTTGATTAGTGTCACCACTCTAATCCATTGGTTAACAACTAGTACTTCCTACGAGAACAGTTCACCTTGCCTGACAAACTCTTTTAGAAAAACCACTTCATCCAGAAGTAATCAGGAAAATTGATAAGTCAGTTAAACTATTTTTCCTACAAGCAGTATCACCACAAATTTGAAATAAATATGAAATACTTCTTTAACAATTCAGTTTAGCTGAAGCCACCTTCGATACACGTGTACATGTATACACAATGGTGAAAAAATATGTGATTAGTACTTTTATATACGAATGACAAGATCTAATCAGATTTCCTACAATTAAAAACAATCTGAAATGCCAAGTTAAATGAAAAATTGAGCATGAAAAGCACTGAACGACTCATTTTCTTACGAATACTTCTAATTACAATGGAAAAGGATACAATATACACCTCCTCCTTCAACTGCCCCATTTGTACTAATTGCGCATATAGAAAATACAGTCAGCAACAGGATGAAATAGGATAGTAATAGTTGTAATACACTTTCCAGCAAACCAGCATGAGCAATAATAAACCCTGCGCGAGAAGCAATATTTATAGAAAAACACTGAGCGTACCTAAACGTAGAAATATCACGCTACTGAACTGGGATAACGTTACAGAGCAAAACACGCCACCAAATGTGTTCAACGTACGACGTGAAATGACAACATTGTCATCAAGCGATTTACTTATGTCAGCCATTGTGTTTTATTGATTAGTTTTTAGGCAATACCATCACGGACGGACGAATATCCCAAAGTACCATATGATGAGAGTATGGATCTACGTGAAAGAAAGAAAATTAAACGGAAATAAATAGTCATTAGTAATAACAATAACAGTCTTTCCAGCCCAAATAATGTGACTAACCTTTTTTCCATCTATGGGCTTACTGTGGTTTCCCCATGTTAGAAATATGGATGAATCACCAAGGTCTTTAGTTTCTAAACATCGAGTTCAAAATCTGAAACTTGACTTACTTATCGAGGTTTTGACAGTCATACATCAGTTAATTTTCGAAATCCAGATGAACACAACACACGACCATATTAACAGTCAAAGAATCTCATATTCGTATTTTATTTCACCTTCGGCTATATGTCTATCTATGACAACCAAGGACGACTAACAAGTTCACTGTCGCCCTACGTCTACGAACATTCTCACTAACTTTTATTAAATTCACGTTACAAGACGAACGAGGTTATAAGTGAACTTGTCAATCGCCCATGGTTGTCACAGTCCGATATACAACCGAAGATGGGATAAAATACGAACGATTTTAGTGAAAAAACATAAATTGCTTTCGTTTAGTCAACTTGTCGACGAAAGCACAATCAACGGTAATTGACTTTAACAGTGATTTATGTTGCATTAATAGCAGTCAACACTGCTAATTATGATGAAAATCAACCAACCGTGATAGTATACAGTAGTCACAACAATGAAAGGTCTCTGAATGATAATGGTATGTGAAAGAAGTGAAATCATTAATCCATTTCTTGTAGGATGTAATCACATTTATTTGCGTTCATAGAAGTTCATAAAGCGGGAAGAACAGATAAATATGGCATTGATGAATTTGATGACAAATAGCTGTCAGACAAGCAGGAATGTTGATCGCATCCTAAATGCTTTTCGAGATCTTGTACCAGATTTACCAAGCAGCACTACAAGTGTCCTACGAAAGTACACAAGTGTTCAACTTAAGTTCATAAATAGTGGTGTTTACTACCATCTCTGATTAGAAACTTTGGTTGAGTACTTGTGATTTTGAAACACTGGACTTGCATATTAATGTAGACAGACATTTGATTTCAAGGATCTCTAGTCAACGATTATGGCCTATATTAAGACGCATCGTTGCCCCTAGGTTTAGAGACGTGTTCATGACAGGCGTTTATGGAGGGAATGCTAAGCCAATCGAATTTAACGAAATAGTCACAAGAACATATGGGCTGACTGTAAATGCATTGCCGTTAACTGTGTTAATAATGCACTAATTGTTCCATTGCTGCATATGTTCAAGTGAATATAATTTGCAAAACTTTTCTGATGGTATTACTCTAAACCATTTCCTTACCTTCTACATACTGTTTAGCTGAGTAATAAGCAGTTCGTACTTATCGACGCACAAAGCAAGAGACAGGTTCTAATTGCAGATAAGCAGTGAACTGAGAACTTTGTCTCTATTCTACGAACATTGTGTATATGCACCAGTAGAACAGTGCCCAACCAGGTGACAATTAATCCTAAAGTCCAAAGGTCATCAACCGCTGTAGTGAGTTACAAACATAGGGACGATCATTTCCTATAGATAGTTTCGAGACTGCAAAGGATTTGTTAGTCTGGTTCAACAACTTGACTGGTTACTGTGTCGCTAATTTTACGGAAGAAAACATCTTGCCACTAAACGAAGAGAAGCTAAAGAGGTCCATAAAGTAATCTTATTATTATTTTGTAGAGGTGTATTGAAACGGAAGGAAAGGTTTCTGTACAATTCCGTTGATATGGATGTGCATGAGATGCAGGCTGGAAACAGCCACGTTCAATATCATAAATTTGGATTGCTAGATACTTTTTCTCACCAGTTGCCAAGTCGGCGTGTTTTCTTTAAAAAAGTTAATAAACAATTTCGACACAGTTGGATGTGTCACCTTCAACGTACGTGTAGAGGCGTGTGGGAAGTGCATTAGCAGCCAAGCAAGTCACGTGTCCGACTGAGTTAAGTGCTTAAGATTTGGTACACCGTGTGATGTGCTGTAGAACATATCGTCTGCTGTTTCAGACTTGAGTGCCAACACTAAGTAGCTAATGTCGAGGTCTGGTGGGCGTGAACATCCGCGGTAACTTGGTTTCGGACTATCAAGTTCACAGCTCCCTTTTTCATCCACAGAGGGACTAGGAACGTTGTACGCATGTCTTTGGCAAGAAGATATAAGGAACAAATTTGTAAGTCAATAAAATTCATTGAATTATTTGTTCGTATTGCAGATGACCATGTTGAAGCGGTTAAAGACACATCATCTACAATAAAATAAAGATCGTTGCTCGGGTATCTGTTACAAATATCCCTGTGTAATATGGTGTTTCTTCTAGTTAATAAATGTCTTTAACCATGTATCATTTTTAAACGTAGTCGATTGCAGTCGTCGTGTAATTTGTTATGGAAATAAAGCCGAACATGGAAGACATATGGGGTTAGGCAAAAGATGGACAACAAAGCGTGTGATCAACGGTACAGTTAAAAATTAGGTAACAGGTTAGACGAAAAGCAGAAAATTTGGCGACTTTTGAGACATAAAGAGATAAAGGAGAAAAATTCCGCATTATTTCCCATGACAGAAAAAAAACATTCTGGAGCGGTTCCACAGTAAATCCCCTTTTACCATAGAAATGTAACCTGTACTTCCCACTCCCACGCCTTTATTGCCTCTTTAATTGATTGCTTGTGAATACCCGTCAGGGTGTTTATTAATATAATGCGCAATCGCGCATTAAGATCACAAAAATATAAAGTTCTACACTACTAGTACAAAATCTATAACCTAAAGAATGAACCACACACACCTAGGCAGAGCCATACGTGGCAAGCAACATTTGTGAGATACGACCATTTAACAACTTACCGCTGAAATTCTAGTAACCGAAACTATTAAGTGGTAATAGTAACGTTCTCAAGGACATGGCCTAAGCAGGGCAAGTAACTATGAATGTGCAAAACAAACTTTTAGTAGCATCATATTTTGTATTGTACCTAAATGTTATAATTACATATCTTCATGCATTGCAAACGGTTGAGCATGGTTTATCGCATTTTTACTAAGTTGGTCATTTGCTCCATTCAATTTCTTTTCTTACGGAAGTACGAAGTACACTTCCTGAAAACAACGAGCGTTGAACTTTTGTTATTCCGAATTACATACCTTTTATTTACTAGTGTTTACTCAAGGAAGTACTCATCGTAAATGACTATGCGCTCCTAGGTCAAGGCTCTCGGTCAAGCATCACCACCAGATCACTATCGAGTGCACCACTCATAACAACCGATCATCTCATATCATTTATTTCTGGACATATCGACCGATTCCCAAATATATCTCTGAACTCTTTCACTCTAAGCTTCTAGTTTGACTAAAATTGAAATCTTCGACTAGAAAGGTGTTACGGATGATAATGCTGTCGAGCTCTGGGTATTCGCCGTGTGGTGCGCCTCAAAAATGGTCTGGCACCCAAAATGATTAGATGTGAGTTTATTCCTTGTCCCAACATTGTGCGTATATATTTTTTCGTCTGTTATGTCAGACATGTTTACCTCAACGTATGTATTACGCAAACCCACCCACTTGATATTCGTTGTTGTAGATGCTTTTATGCCAATCATTGGTCTAGACCTACGACAACGTCATAATCCACTCATCAACACGTGCAAATGGGCGTTGGTAGATGAAACTACTAAATTGTCAATTTGTGGAACTTTATTTTCCGGTAGTCTCCAGTCACAGCTAAGCATAAAATCGATCCCTACTATCAACGGATACTCGACAAGTACCCTGAGCTGTATGAAACTCTACCAAACAACCGTGCGTAACCATAAATATTACACATCACATCACGACTATAGGACCACCTGTATTCCTGAAAGTGCACCGACTACCTCCGAAAGCCGGAGCCTGGCTGAAAACTAATTCGATCACATGATAGACTTAGGGATCACAGAGCCATTAAGCAGCCCATGGTCATCTCCCTTATACATGGTCCCAAGAAAGGCCACCAAGGATTGGCTTCTAACTGGCGACTATCGGCGAATGAATGCGAAATCCGTTCCTGATAGTTACCTGTTGCCTCACATTCACGATTTGAAAGACACAACTATTTTTTCTGAAATCCATGTTGTTAAAGTATACAACCAAAGACCTATGGTTGCTGTCGACATTCCTAAAACGGCTATCTTCCCCTTCGGACTCTACGAAATTTCGCACATGCGTTCCGACTTAATTAAAGCTGCACAAACTTTCCAGAGACTCATTGACGACGTTTCTTGAGGTCTAAACTTCGTGCATGCGTATGTGGATGACTGCTTGTTAGCATGTCCGGTCAGAGAATCCCACCTCCAGCATCCAGACCCTCTCTTCGAACGATTGCAAAGACACGGCATTAGTGTAGACATACAGAAATGTCAAATTGACACCGACTTTCCACATTTCATCAAACACACTATTGATGCTCAAGGCATCCGACACCTGAAAAACAAAGTAGTTGCCATTCTGATTTACTCAGAGCCGACCATAATCAAGCAACTACACACGTTCAGTGGCCTGTCAATTTTCTGTTGACGGTTCATGCCGAATCACGCGTCCCTTATAAAACCTTTAACTGACCAACTTCGTAAAAATGCGAAATTCACCAGCTCGAGCGATATCGTAAAAAAAGCATTCTCCACAATTAGGGAACTTGTCTCCAAAGCAACGTTGCTTTCACATCAGTACTTCGACACACAGATTAGTATCGTAGTAGACTCATCCGACTAGGCAATCAAAGGAATCTTACAACAATGGGTTAACCACACCTGTCAAACATTGCGTTCTTTTCAAAACGGTTGCTAGATATGGAATCGATGTGTAGAACTTTCGGTAGGGAATTCATAGCCATGTAATGTACTGTACGGCAGTTTCAACATTCTGTTGAAGGCCGGGAATTCA